AACTCCAGATTTGTGAAGCTGTTGCTCTTAAGGGCGCTGGAAGGAGAAGACCTGTGCTCTGGGCTTCCCCCTCCTCTTTGGAGGCTGATTTTGGTCCCTCCTTTAGCCAAGAAGGAGGAGGAGCCACCAGCATTCCCCTCGGGACAGGGTGTGGTAGCAGCAGCAAGAATAAAAGAGAGACATCTCCAGGAGAGGGACCTGGACTCAGAGGAAAAAGTGGGGAGTTAATGCCACCCCTTCCTCCCGGGAAATGTTTTCTTCAGGGCCCATTTATTTTCAGACTCTAGAAAATATTTTGTTCAGTCAAGGAGGGTCTTTGCCTGAATGGTGCCAGTGGTGGCAGAGGTAAGGGGGAAGTGAAACCTGGAGAAAGCCTGGAGTGCTTCTCCGGCCACTGTAGCCCATCGGGAAGTTTTCCCTCGGCTGTGTCTCGTCTCAAATCCTGGAGGTTTTAGGGTTTAGTGGCCCAAGCCGGGGTGGGGGAGTCCTAAGGGCCCTGAAATGGCTGGCTATATCAAGACAGAGCCAGCCTAAAGCATCCAGTGGGGCCTCAGCTTTCCTTTCTGAACTCACGTTGAACGTAATTAAAGGGAACTTGGGTCAGATTTTGTAATGGTAGCCCATCCACTCTGCCAAGAATTGCATCTCTGTTCTGGAAGCCCTGGCAGTGGGAAGGGGCAGGACTGACTGAGTGAGAGAGGGGTGTACAAGGGAGCCACAGCCCAGTTTCCTGGGGCCACCCCGCCTTGGTCTGCCCTCCTGAAATCAAGAGCGTGGGCTGAGTCATCGTGGCTACAGAAGCTGACCCTCTGCCAGGGCTGACATTACAGAGCTCTCAGCCGTCTCTGGGAGGGCTGGTGGGAAATGGAAGTAACAACTCGTCTTCTGATCCTGAGTCTTCTGTTCTGCCAAGGCCTGCTCTGTAGTCCCGTGGCCCGTAGGCCTAGGTTCTGACCTTTGCCCCGTGGTCACCTCCTGATGCTTTAAGTACAGTTACCCTCTTGACCATTGGAGTTGGACTTTGGTCTTCCTGGACTGGGCTCAGCTGTGCCCCCTGCCCACCTCCCTGACCTCTCCTGTCTTCGCAGTGTCGGGCGCCCCAAACACATGCGGGTGATGGCTGGAGCCCTGGAAGGGGACCTCTTCATCGGACCAAAAGCAGAGGTAATACCTGTGGAGCCTGCCTTTTTCTGGGTTTGGAGTCTTCATTGTCCCAGGAGCCTTGACTGGTGATCAGAGCTGTACCGCCAGAGAGGGCCCTGGGAGTCTGTTCTCTGAGGCCATCTGCTGGGTGCCCTCCTGGCTCCAGGATCCAGGCTCCAGCTCAGCGGTACTGCACCATGGTCCCTTTGCTCTGTGTGATGGGGCCGTGGTTCCCGTATAGGGCAGCAGTTAGACCACTTCATGCCCTGTGTTTTAGAAACTACAAAGGAAAGAACTGGTTAAAATGTGACTTAAAAGTCTGAATCACTGGGACTTGATGACCTGAGTGAGAGGGCCAGCTCTTGTGCTCCAGCCGGGGAGACACCTAGAGGCTGCACGGCCAGATGAGGCCCTTGGGAGGAGGAGTGAATGGGGGTGAGGGTGGCAGGGATAACAGGCAAGTGCAGTTTAGGCACCTGGGGTGTCTACGGTGTGGGGTGCCAAGGGCTCGGGGTGCAGATAATGGGGCTCTCAGGAGGTGGGGTCAGGAGGAGCCGCGGCTGTGGGTGAGAGGCCGAGTGGCGCTGGGCAGGAAGCGGCATGTTTGGGGGGAAGTTGAAGGGCAGGTCCATGTGAGAGGCGCGAGCACTGGCTGAAGAGCTGGGAGGAGAGGTGGCTCAGGGCATCCAGCTGTGCCCGGGAGGAGCGGTGGCAGCACGTGACTGCAGGAGGGGACCAAGTAGGATCGGCCTACGTGGGGGCTCCTGGCACTGAAGAGGCGGGGATGGAGGTCAGGCTGTGCTGGCAGTGAGTGTAGAGGACCAAGGGCTGTGGAGGAAGGGAGGGGACTGCAGGGTGGGAGGGAGCGCTCTGCCGCCCTCTCCGGTCCTGGCCTTGGAGACTGGCTGGGCTCTGAGAGCCTGAGAAGCAGTTGGACAGATGAACCTGTGCTGGGTTCAGGACCTGTCACGGGGCATGGGGACACCCGGCGAGCGGATGAAGGGGCAGCTCCCAGGCGGGCGGGGAGCAGTTGCTGGTGAATGTCTGGTGCCACAGCGGGCCTCCCCACCTCCGCAGGAGCACCGGGGGCTGCTGGCCATCCGCTACCCCATGGAGCACGGCGTGGTACGGGACTGGAACGACATGGAGCGCATCTGGCAGTACGTCTACTCCAAGGACCAGCTGCAGACCTTCTCCGAGGAGGTGGGGCAGTGGCCCCTCCCGCCGGGGGCCCCGGTTCTCCCTGTGGGGTCTTCTCCCTGCCCGCGGCATCCCAGTCAGGCTTCCTTGTTTCCTCTGGCTTTGTCAAGGCCTGCCGCCTCTGTGTTGCGTGGGCCTGGGTCCACACAGTCGGTGGCTGCCGAGCAGAATTTTCCAGGGAGTGCTGGATCTTTGGAAGAGTAAAACTACTGGCAGATGATGGGCTTGTGCCGTCGGGAGGGATGGCAGGCCACAGCTTCACGTGCTCACAGGGGCGGGTGGCTCTCTGGAAGGATCATTGCAGTGCCAGCACGCTGTCTTTGCACCTGCCGGCAACTCTGGCATCTCTTGCAGCATCCTGTTCTTCTCACGGAAGCTCCGCTCAACCCATGTAAGAACCGGGAGAAGGCGGCGGAGGTGTTCTTCGAGACCTTCAACGTGCCAGCCCTGTTCATCTCCATGCAGGCCGTGCTTAGCCTGTGAGTGCTCCCTAAGCCCTGCATCCCCCCATCTCCATCCTCCCTGGGGGCAGCCTCCTGCTCGGGATGACCAGGCGTCTGACTTCCCTGTAGAAACAGCCCCCTGATGACCATCCCTTTAGGGAGTCCCGCGGGTCCCTTTTTCAGACCAGATGATGCACACGTCCCGGGGTCCCTTCCAGGGGTGAGGAGGTCCCCATGCCTCAGTGGCTGAGGTGAAGGGATGCTGACCTGGTGACAGGTATGCAACAGGACGCACGACGGGAGTCGTTCTGGACTCAGGGGATGGGGTCACTCATGCTGTCCCCATCTATGAGGGCTTTGCCATGCCACACTCCATCATGCGGGTGGACATTGCCGGCCGCGACGTCTCCCGCTACCTCCGGCTGCAGCTGCGCAAGGAAGGGGTTGACTTTCACACCTCTGCTGAGTTTGAGGTTGTCCGGACCATCAAAGAGGTGACGCAGGCAGGAGGTGGGGAACGGGGCGGGGGGTGGTCGGACCCAGCGTAAGGTTGAGCCCTGGGTGCGGGTGTCCCGGTTGCCGCCTCCTGAGGGCTGTGTCCCCGCCCACTGCAGCGGGCCTGCTACCTGTCCATCAGCCCGCAGAAGGATGAGGCTCTGGAGACAGAGAAGGTGCAGTACACCTTGCCAGACGGCAGCATCCTTGACGTAAGTTGCCAGGCCGGCCCCGGGCGAGGGCAGGAGTGATGCCGGGACCTGCAGGAAGAGGAGGAGGCCTGTCTGCCTCAATCTTGTGTTCCCAAGGTGGGGCCAGCGCGCTTCCGGGCCCCCGAGCTGCTGTTCCAGCCAGACCTGATAGGGGATGAGAGCGAGGGGCTCCACGAGGTGCTGGCCTTCGCCATCCACAAGTCTGACATGGACCTTCGCCGGACGCTGTTCGCCAACATCGTGCTCTCCGGTGGCTCCACACTTTTCAAAGGTACCACAGTTGGGAGGTGGTAGTATGACTTGGAGGCCAAGGGCAGCTGGACCCTCAGACTGCATCCCACTTCCTAGAAGCCTGGGAGATGGCCCATTTCCTGTTGGTTTTTTGGGTGCTCAGTTTTGTTTTTGTTTTTTTTAAGATAAAGATTTAAAATTAAATTTTATTTACTTTGTAAATAGGTGATAAGTTTAACGAGGTCTAAAATGTATTAGATGAAGTCTGCCTTCTCCCATTGTCCTGGTCACCCAGTTCCCTCCCCAGAGGAATTGTTAGTTTCTCAAGTAACACCTGTGCGTGAATAAGCACTCCCTTTTTACACAGACCTTAGTGTACTCTGAAGCTCCACGCCATGTATTTTTGACTTTGCACCACATCCACAAGATCTTTCCTAGAGAGTAAGTTCTCTTATCTGGCCGTATGGGATGGATGTGCCATTTTACCGTTAACCTGCGGATGGCCTTGGGGATGGTGAAATTCTTTCTGATCACAAAGATGCTCCAGTGGTTGACCTCATACACTTACTTCACGTGATGAGAATATACCTAAAAGAAAAATCCTAGGACTAGAACTGCTGAGTAAGAGGGTGCGTATGTGCATTTGCTACCTGGTAGATATCACCAGAGTTTCCCTCCTAAGAGGCTGTGCCACTTTCACCCCCATCAGTTATGGACGAGAGTCCCCCGGCGCCATCCCGACACTGTGTGACGTTTGCCCATCTGCTGGGTAGAAGTGGCAGGCGTGTTCTCCTGACTCGTCGTTCGCCTTTGACTTTGCTTCTGGCGGTTTTGGCTCCAGAGCAGCGCGGGAGGGAGGGTGTAGGGGTCAGGCAGAGCTGAGTGGCTTGGGGTTCTAGCTCATGCTGCCTTCCTGAGGAAGGCATGCCGCTGGATCTTTTATGCCTTTGGGGTGGCATGCCCTTACCCTTAATCCTGGCAAGAATGACAAAAACAAGCGTGGCAGCACCTGGGGCAACAGAGATTGGATGTGGGGGCGCTAGTGGTAAAGGGTCGGATGTGGACCCCCAGTTCAGCCAGCCTTGTGTTCACAGGCTTTGGCGACCGATTACTAACTGAAGTAAAGAAGCTTGCCCCCAAAGACGTCAAAATCAAGGTGAGGTTATGGGGAGTTCCCATGGGGCCTGGGGGTGCTGGGCAACCTGAACCCAGGGGGGAAAGAGCAAGAACCACCCTCAGATGCCCTCTGCCTGCCAGGCCCAGCCCAGCCCTGCTGCTCCCCTGCTGCCAGCTGGGGCACTTGCTGCCTGGCCTCGGGCACTGGGAGAAAGGCCCCCCCTCCCCGAGGCTGGGACTGGGGCTTCTGCGAGGGGGTGGGGCAGTCACGTTGCTGCTTGCTCCCTCTAGATCTCGGCCCCTCAGGAACGGCTGTACTCCACGTGGATCGGGTGAGGCGGGGCTCCCGGGGAGGGCTGTGGGAGGCCATTGTGCCCTGGATACTTCTCTCCGGGTTGGCCCAGGCCAGGTGGAGGTGGGTGGGTTCCCCTCCCAGGTAAGGGAAGTGGAGCTCTGGGCACCCAGGGAGGGCAGTTGGCTCAGCCCTCAGGTCCACAAGACTGCTCTCCCTCCCTCCTCACAGTGGCTCCATCCTGGCCTCGCTGGACACTTTTAAGAAGATGTGGGTATCCAAAAAGGAATATGAAGAGGATGGCTCCCGGGCTATTCATCGTAAAACCTTCTAGTGCCCAAGGAGGAAGGTGTAGCGTTGGGAAGATGGGAGGAAAGGGGAGCCAGAGTCCTTCACCCTTTCTGGTCCGGTTCACATACTAGGCCTCAGGGCCCCCTGCATGCCCTGAACCCCCGGCAAGTGGTGCAACAGTGCTTCCCTGCAGCCCTCCACACACACATGCACGCACACACAGTAACATTAGCTGCATGGATGGGAGGCTTGAGCTGGAAGATAGGAATTGAGGGGCCCAGCTTTGGGCGGTTCTGGGTGTCCCCCTTGTCAGAACCAATTAGGCCTATGACTCTCTGCTGCCCCGAGCTCCAAGGCCAGACACCCAAATACCCCCATTTTCTCCGACAGGGCCAGAGTGCCTGGATGCCTGTGTAACTAGCCTTGGGGAGTGGGGTGGAGGAGGGGGTAGCCAGCAGCTCCCCGCCGGTGTGTCACTGCTTCTCATGCCACCTCCTCTTCCTGACCCGACAGAGTAGCCCGGAGGGCCACACCTAGGCATCCCTGACCCTTTCACACTCTGTTCTCCCATCTTTCTGGATGGGTTGCCTTGGTGTAGACTGAGTTCTTGTCAGTCTTCTTCCGTCCCCCATAAGGGGTCTGGACCGGGGTCCGACCCTTTGGAGCCAGAGCAGAGGATGCGCTGGGTTTGGGCGGCCGCAGCGTGTTGCGTTCTCCCCTTCAAAGCGCTTCAGTGACTTGCTGCTTCCTGTCCTTTACACCAGTACCTGGGACAGGAAGGGTGAATGGTCTTCATTTGTTGAAGGGAAGCCACTTAATCACAAGTCAGACCTAGTGGGGGTGAGGAGGACACACTTCCTCCTCCCACCTCTCCCACAGAAGAGGTCTTCATTTATCTTGTGGCCAGGACCCCCATCTCCCTCTCCCACAAATGTACAATAATTTAACACAGTTGCCTGAAAAAAATTTTTTTGTAAATCATTATAGTAATAATTATGGACAAGGCCCAGTGTGTGGCTCTGTTTTCTTGCGGTTCTTTGCGCTGTTGTTTGCTCATCCATCCCTGAGGACCAAAGCAGCACGGCACTGGCTCTAGCTCAGAAGCCTGAGATTTCAGTGGTTAGCGGGGCAGTGTGGCACGGGAGGCCCCAGGAGGCTGGGCTCTCAACCTGGTGGCTGAATTCCCCAGCCTCTTTACATGCTTGCTGCAGTCTGCCAGGAGAAGCAGAGAACAGGCTGCCTTTCTCCCGTCTATCTTGGATGGGGCCTTGTGGCAGGCGGGGCTGGGGCTGGGTGCATCCACGCCCTCACCTGTTCTGTTTGAGCACCTCTGCTGCCCGGCTCAGATGTAGCTGAGGCCAATAGACCAACACTGATACAGGATCCAGGTTCAGCCAAGTCAGGAAGCGGGGTGATGGGAGAGATGCAGAAGGCTGTATCGATGAGCTGGGCTCTGAGAGAATAAGCTGAGCAGCAAGAAGAGGAAGGGCAGTGGACAAAGAGGGAGCAGTGAGAAGTGAGTTGAAAGCGTCCACCCTCTCCTTCCTCATCAAGTACTTACATCAAGAGCACCTACAGTATGTCCAGGAGGTGCCTTGTGTTTGGAGCCAGTGGTAAACAAGACATGTCTTTGCCCCTAAAAACACAGATCAGGGGAGAAAGATAAACAGGGTATTTCAGTACAGAGCTGGGGGGCCAAGAGGAGGGGCATCTAAGCCAGCAGGTGGGGCAGGCGGACTTGCACGGGTGTAGGAGGGGTTAGCCAGGTAAAGAGGGGGTGTTCCTGGGAGAGGTAAGAGTTCAAGGAGACGCCTGGGACCGGTGGGGCTAGAAAAAAAGGACATGGGCCCAAGCGAGGCTAAGGCGCAGGGCACCGTGAGTGGTCTCTGGCTATAATGTGAAGTAAACCAGAGGGGTAAGTTGGGGCCAGCAGTAGGCCTCGGGAGGGTTTTTAGCTGTGTCCTGAGTGATGGGCAGTCAGTCAGGGGCACATGGTTATCATAGCTGTGTGTTGAAGGCAATGGACTTGGTGGGGCTGAGGGAGGGCCCAGGACTCGAGAGATCAGGCAGGAGGGGAGACGTCACCGAGTCAGGCCTGGCTTCAGAGAACATTTTGTGAGGCTTTGTGGTCACAGCGTGCCTGTCCCCAAGGGGGAAACAGAATTTACAGAGAAACCTTTGTTTGGGGTTCTGTTTATGGTGCCACTTTCTCCCAACCACACAGGCTTAGAGCCTTGTCACTTTGCCTTCTCCCTCCTCTTACCTTCCCCACATTCTGTCAGTTGCCAGGTTCTGTTGGCTCTGTAGCACCTTTCCCGCCTGGTTTCTTTTCCACAGTAGCCACCGCCACCACCCTAGCTCATGACCACAGCTCCATCCTCCCCACCCAATCCATTTGCCCTTGGATCTACAGCCCAGATAGCCTTGGTTCTGCCACTTCCTAATCCAAAATGTCAGGCGGTTCTCCACTGCTTGGTGAAATAAAACTGAATTGATGCGAAATTGCTGGTGAAATCGCCCTCATGAGCGATGCATTGTTGCGTTTAATTCTGGCCCTGTGGAGTCTTGTTCCTTCCCTGTGTTAGGCTTAGGCATTGTCATGCCCTGATTTGCCAGCCAGCCTCTACTCATGGTCTTCTCTCTGCTGGGAATGACTTTCTCTAATGTCTGTCAAAATCCCGTCCTTTAAGGCCGAGCAACACTCTCCCTACTCCCTCTCCTGCAGGGATGGTGTGGTTACAGAGCTCTAGCCCTGCTGCGTTTCTCACTGTTGGAGAAAAGCTACAGATGAGAAGGTGATAAGGCTAGAATGAACCCTGTGCTGTTGGATGGGGACTGGAGGTAGTATGAACTCATGGCTTTTATCATACATACAGAAAGATACTGAAGTAAATGGGTTAGAATATATGTGTGTATATTTCTTAGCCCTGTCTGCTCAGAGGGCCTAGAGACAATGACACCCCAGTGGCAATAAGCACATATAGTATCCAGATCTTGGTTTCCAAATACCATTCTTCAATAAAAGGAACCAGAGGTCCTTGGAGAAATTGCAGACCTGGGGCAGAGAAAGTATAAAATGAGCCTAGCCTAGAATATCCTGTGGTACTGTAAAGGAAGAAAGTGCTCAAAAAAGAAGATGGCCTCTCTAAAGGACTTGGGAAACAACTTGCAGGAGCACCCAGTGGTCAAATTTGTATTACTCTGGAATATATTTGTATTATACTGGATTATAAGTCATAGAATAAAACAGTCATGAGTCCAGTCTGAGATCAATCCTGGGGGAGAAGGGACAGTTCTTACTTGTAGAATTCCAATTAATGAATGTAGAAGGAATAACAGAAAAAGAAAATCACTGTTAGGCAAACATCAGTTATCGTTGCTGCAGGCAAAAATGGATGCAGAAACTAGTAAGCAAAAAATAAGGACATTTGCGCTGTCTCAAAGTATCTCCCCATGAGGTACTTACTGATTAAAAAAGGAAAAATAGTAACCTTACAGTGGAGAAACCTAGTAGGTATCACCTTAACCAAATGATCAAAGTTTACATCCCTGGTAATAAGTCACTATCTTGACGTGATGCATTAAGAGACGGCAATGTTACCTGTGTATTCTTGGATAACCTCCACCTAACCAGGAGCAAACAGCAGGCAAACCCAAACTGAGGGCATTCTATACATCAGTGGACCAGCTATCTTGTTCAAAAGTGACAGATTATAAAGACAAAGACTGAGGAACTGTCACAGGTTTGAGGAGACCAAGGAGGTATGACAATGAAATGCAACATGAGATTCTGATCAGAAAATGACCTTACTGAAAAAGCCGGCAAAATCAGTTAATAGTACTGTATCAATGTGAATTTCCTGGTTTCAGTCACTGTACTTATGTGTTAATGTTAGCAGAAACTGGTGAAAGGTAAACAGGAACTCTGTACTATTTTTGCAACTTTTCTATAGGTCTCAAATTATTTCAAAATAAAAACAGGGGAAAAGCTCAGGCTTGAGCTAAATGGTCTGGATTCACAATCCTGCCACCACAACTAAGTAGCTGTGTAATCTGGAGCTGTTCCTAGGTTTCCACATCTCTAACATGGGGGTGATAATAATAGCACCTACCTCACGGGTTTAGGGTTTAACAGCCTGCAACATTTTGTGCCAGAGAATAAAAGAAGTGCTACAAGAATGATAGGGACATGTCAAAAGGCCACAGGAGCCTGCTTGAAGAAGCTTCCACTGGTCAAATTTGGAACAAATTAAACATCAAAAAATAATGACAGTTATGAATTATAATTCACTGCATACAATGTGAAAGCATAAGTCTATACTGATATAAATTAATAAATTGAAAGTTCGATGAGGAACAGGGTATTGACATCTCAAAGTATTGCTCTGTACGATACTTATTAATAATTAAGGGGTGGTGGGGACTTCCCTGGTGGCGCAGTGGTTAAGAATCCGCCTGCCAATGCAGGGGACACGGGCTTGAGCCCTGGTCCAGGAAGACCCCACATGCCGCAAAGCAACTAAGCCCATGTGCCATAGCTACTGAGCCCTCAAGCCTAGAGCCCGTGCTCCCAACAAGAGAAGCCACCGCAATGAGAAGCCCACGCACCGCAACAAAGAGTAGCCCCCACTCACCGCAACCAGAGAAAGCCTGTGCGCAGCAACAAAGACCCAACACAGACAAAAATAAATAAAAATTAAAAAAAAAAAAAAAATTAAGGGGTGGGAATTCCCTGGTGGTCCAGTAGTTAGGACTCTGCGCTTTCACTGCTGAGGACGAGGGTTCAATCCCTGGTCAGGGAATTAAGATCCTGCAAGTCGCATGGCACCGCCAAAAAACTAAAATTAAATTTAAAATAATAATATTTAAGGGGCAACTATACAGTGAAGAAACCGGGCAGACATTAATCAAGTGACCAAAGTGAACTCATCAGCAATTGGACAAATCGACGTCATGTGCCCACTGAGAAGCATCCAGCATCCACCTCTGTGTTACTCCTGCCCAAGATGCATAACCTGAATCCAGTCATGAGGAAACATCAGACAAACCTAAGTTCTTGGTGTAATTTTCAAAGGTGTCAATGTCACAGGAATCAAGGAAAGACTGAAGAACTGTTCCAGAATGGAGAAGGCTAAAGGGACATAACAACTAAAGGTAACAGGAACTGGATTCTTTGCTATAAAGGACATTATTGGAACATTTAGCAAAACTTGAACAGGGTCTGAGGATTAAATGGTAGAAATGTACAAGTTGTAATTTCCTGATTTTGATAGTCATATTGCAGGTATAGGAGAGAATGTCTTTGTAGGAAATGCACACTAACCTGTGATGGGGCTTCAGATAGCAACTTACTCAAGTGGTTCCACAAAAAAAGATCTTTGTACTTTCAGGTTGTTTAATAAATACCATTAGAGAGATACCTGTATCCTTGCCTAGTGAGGAGAGACAGGATCCAATTTCTAAGCTGCTAAATGGCTAGATGGAGCCCATTTCTACCCACAAGCAAAGGTCTGGAGCTCCTAGTGAAGGGTGTTACATTTCCTCTTTGCCCCTAGGGCTCCCAGTTACCAACAGGCAAGAAAAAGAGCTCTTCATGCTTTTGTGCTTTTGTGGTTAGCCTGAGGTAGAGGTTCTTTGCCTTGGTGGCATGTTGAAAGCACCTGGGGAACTTTATAAAGTAATAATGCCTGGGTCTCACCCCCAGAGACTCTGCTTCAGTGGTCTGGGTGTGAGTCGGGTATGGGGAACAAAAATATACCCAGGTGATTCTAATGTGCAGCGAAATTTGAGACCCACTAACCCAGGAGACAGGACTTGAATTTACTTATCTATTGATGCCATTAAAGCATTACAGTTCTATAGAAGTCTGTCATGGGTCTCACTGCACTGAAATCAATGTGGCAGCAGGGCTGTGTTTCTTTCTGGAGACTGGGGGAGAATCATTTCCTTGCTTTTCCCAGCTTCTAGAGGTTAATTGCATTCCTTGGCCTGTGATCCCCTTTTCCCATCTTTAACCAGTAACACTGCATCTCTCTGACCATTCTTCCACAGTCACATCCCCCTGACTCTCATTCTTCTGCTGCGCTTGTGATTATTGGGCCCACCTGGATAATCCGGGTTACTCTCCCTATTTTAAGGTCAGCTGATTAGCAACCTTAATTCTGTCTGCAATCTTAATAACCTTTAACTTTCGACCTAACATATTCACAGGTTCTGGGATTAGGACATGGACATCTTTGGGGGACCATTATTCTGCCACCACAATCTGGAAATATATGGAGATTTGTCTTTCTTAGGGGAAAACTGGTTAAAATTTTTAAAAGAGAAAAGCAAGGGGGTATCTAAGGCAATCTACAGATTCAATGCAATCCCTATCAAAATACCAGTGGCATTTTTCACAGAACTAGAAGAAATAATTCCAGAGTTTGTATGGAACTACAAAAGACCCTGATAGCCAAAGCAATCTTGAGAAAGAAGAACAAAGATGGAGGTATCACGCTCCCTGATTTTAATCTATACTTCAAAGCTACAGCAATCAATACAGTATGGCACTGGCACAAAAACAGACACATAGGTCAATGAAACAGATTTGTATCAAAAAAACAAAAAGTCTGCCTACTGAATGGGAGAAGATATTTACAAATAATATATCCAATAAGGGTTAATATCAAAAATAGATGAAGAACTCATACAACTCAACATCAAAAAAAAACAACTTAATTAAAAAATGGGCAGAGGGGCTTCCCTGGTGGCACAGTGGTTGAGAGTCCACCTGCCGATGCAGGGGACCCGGGTTCGTGCCCCGGTCCGGGAAGATCCCACGTACCTTGTAGCGGCTGGGCCTGTGAGCCATGGCCGCTGGGCCTGTGCGTCCAGAGCCTGTGCTCCGCAACGGGAGAGGCCACAACAGTGAGAGGCCCGTGTACCGCAAAAAAAAAAAAAAAAAAAAAAAATGGGCAGAGGACCTGAATAGATATTTTCCCAAACACGTATAGATGGTCAACAGACTCATGAAAAGATGCTCAACATCACTAATCATCAGGGAAGTGCAAATCAAAACCACAATGAGATAACATCTCACACCTATCAGAATGGCTATCAGCAAAAAGGCAACAAATAACTAATTTGGCAAGGATGTGGAGAAAAGGAAATCCTTGTGCACTATTGGTGAGAATGTATATTGGTGCAGCCACTATGGAAAACAGTATGGAATTTTCTCAAAAAATTAAAAATAGAACTGCCATATGATCCAGCAATTTCACTTCTGGGTATTTACCCAAAGAAATAAACTAATTCAAAAAGATATGTGCATACCAATGTTCATTTCAGCATTATTTATAATAGCTAAGATATAGAAGCAACCTAAGTATCCAGCAATAGATGAATATATACATATATGCAATGGAATATCACTCCACCATAAAAAAGGATGAAATATTGCCATTTATGACAACATTGGTGGACCTAGAGGGTATTATGCTCAGTGAAATAAGTCAAACAGAGAAAGACAAAAACTGTAAGATCTCACTTACATGTGGAATCTAAAAAACAAAATGAAAATAGACTCACAGATACAGAGAACAGGGGAGGGGAGTAGGAGCAAAATAGGTGAAGGGAATTAAGAGGTACAAACCTCCAGTTGTAAAATAAATAAGCCATGGGGATGTAATATATAGCATAAAGAATACAGTCAGTAACAGTTTAATAACTTTGTATGGGGACAGATGGTTACTAGACTTATGGTGATCATTTCATAATGTAGTACAACTGAAACATAATATTGTAATATATTTCCATTTTAAAAGTTAAAAAATAATAAAGATGCAAGGTGGGCTTGGAGATGAGGGAGGAAGCAGACAGAATAAATAATGATGTGAAGAGTCAAAAGTCCACTCTAAGCAGAGTTTTGACTGGAAAGGGAGACGGTGAAAAAGGAAAAGAGGATGCAGGAGGTGGGCCAGACAAGAGGGCTTGAGGGTAGCACTAAACCAGTCTTCCTGACTGGGAAACTCTTGTTTATAACAGCATTTAAGGTGGGAGTGGTAGGTGACTATTTAGGTGTCCCCTTCCCAGAGAATGGCCCTGAATGGCAGATAAATGCTTGGACATTTCCTGGAAATGAGATGACAGCCAGGAAAGGAAGCAGTAGCTTTGTACCTTTAAGAGGAGGTAAGGCAAGATGAAGGGAAGAGGCTTCCCTGGTGGCACAGTGGTTGAAAATCCACCTGCCAATGCAGGGGACATGGGTTCGAGCCCTGGTCCAGGAAGATCCCACATGCCACAGAGCAACTAAGCCCGTGCGCCACTACTGAGCCTGCACTCTAGAGACCGCGAGCCACAACTACTGAGCCTGCGTGCCTAGAGCCTGTGTTCCACAAGAGAAGTCACCACAGTGAGAAGCCCATGCATCGCAACGAAGAGTAGCCCCCGCTCGCCACTAGAGAAAGCCCATGCACAGTAACGAAGACCCAATGCAGCCAAAAGTAAATAAATATATTTAAATTTAAAAAAAAAAGATGAAGGAAAGGGCTTTTCTCTCCCATTATCAATTCAACTTAACAGATCTAGTTTGGATCAATTTTGTGGCAATAGTAACCAAAGCCACCTCTATCGCAAATCCCAAAACAAAATATGTACTATTTCCATTTTACAGATAAAACAGCTTTTGAGAAATTAATTGTCCAAGGTGTCACAGGTATAAAGGGACTGAATCGGGCTTTTGTTTCTCTTATTATTATTTTTTGTTTATTATTTTGATAAAGTTCAAACGTACACAAAAGTAGAAAAATGACAACCCCTCTTTTTTTTTTTTGCATTACGCGGGCCTCTCACTGTTGTGGCCTCTCCCACTGCGGAGCACAGGCTCCGGACACACAGGCTCAGCGGCCAAACCTCAAGGGCCCAGCCGCTCCGCAGCATGTGGGATCTTCCCAGACCGGGGCACGAACCCATGTCCCCTGCATCAGCAGGCAGACTCTCAACCACTGCGCCACCAGGGAAGCCCACAACCCCTCTTGTACCTGGCTACAATGGATCAGTCATACCCCAAACTACTCTCTTCCTTCTTCTGTTTTAAAGCTAATCCCAGACATATTTCACCCCTAAGTACCTCAGTATATATTGCTAAAGCATAAAAAAAAAACTAATTCCTTTAACATGTCTAAAATTTAACAAGTCCCTAAATACCAAATATCCATATTTGATTTTTTTCTTTACAGTTGATTTTTTCAAATCAAGATCCAAACAAGGTCCACGCACTGCTCTTGGTTGGTATCTTCCTCATGCTTCACTTGCTAAGTACTCATACCTGTTTTTTTTCTCCTTGCAATTTATTTGAAGAAACTGGCTGCTGGTTTCTGGAATTGTCCCATATTCTAGATTTTGCTGATGGCATCCCCATGAACTATGCTTTGAACCGGGGTCCCTTAAGACTTCAAAGCCAAAACTCTCCCCACAAGGCCACTCTGTCTTTACAATAATGTGAGGACCTACTATTTGCCAGGCTCTTTTTATATATATTATTCCTAACACCTCACAAGGTATTGATTTATTTATTTTAAGATGTAACCTACCCTCAGAGAGCAGGCCCCCAGTGACAAAGCTAGATGATGGAGCCAGTATTACAAGTCCAGTCAGCCTGACTCCACAGCCCATTTTCCCCATGCCAGGTGGTAGCTACCACTGCATTAGGGAACTGGCAATCTCGGTGTACAAAAGCAAGTGGATGGCAAGCTAGTATTAACAGATAGCTATTCCCAACATAATCATCCATTCCTTCCCAAAAAACACAGGAAAGAAATAAGACCAGCCAACTATGGGAGGAGAAGCCAATGTAATGGCTAGTCTTTATTGGAAAGAAGAAACTTTATATCACATTTTGAGTGAGTTAGTGCAGGGGCTCAGTGGGCCAGCTGGTGGGGCACCAGCTTGTAATGGGTTCCACAGCTAGGGCATCGCTGGGCCTCGCCCTTATGCAGCCAGAACCAGATGACAGCACTGTTGTCTTCTTCACCTGAAAGAAAAAAGGTGGCTGAAGCCCATCCAGCCTAGAAGAGGGGACTTTTTCAACGTTAACCTCTTTTCCTCAGACACCTCTGAGACACAGAGTTATGGCTGACACCTTAAGAGATCAGTTCAAGCTCTCTCCCCATTTTTCAGATGAAGAAACTGAGGCCAAGTTTACCTGTGAGTAAGCTGATCTCTTATCAGAGTCACCATAGGTTCTCACAGTTCCATGCCTATGTAGAACCCCAAAGCTGGATCCATCCTGGTATGTACCCCTAGTGCCTAACATGGTGTGTGGCAAAGAGAAAGTACAATAAATATTTTCTAGATGAATACTCCTTCACGCTGCCTCTCCAATGAGCCAGTATTATTGATGTTCCAGGCCTCTTTACCGTTAAGGATGACCTACTCGGGCAGAGAGGCCTGAGGGTGGACACGACTTATTTACACACACATCTTAGAACGACTTATTTACACACACATCTTCTTTATACACCTACACTCACACACAACAACAGATGTGAAGCAGCTGATAGACATCCTGTATATTAAACAAATGGATTAGATAATAGTGGTGAGGTACTTACAGATGCAGCCCACTATCCGCTTATTAGTGATGGAGGGAACTAAATTAGGGTCTTCCTTGGTACCTGAGGCTGCCTTTGGGGCGAGAATATTGTACGGGTCCTGAAAAACAAATGAAGAATCCATTATGCCAAATGACCGCTACCTTCTAGAGGCTAGCAGTACTGTTCCCACAAGCCAGGTTTCCTGGATGGAAGGCTCCCAGAGAGGAGGCCGCTCTGACTCCATCCAAGGCCATGAGCTCCCGAGAAGACACAAGGTTCTCCTCACCAGTCCCTTGCGTGCAGCCAGCATGACCTCCCTCTCCAGCCCAGTGGCCTGCTCATCATCAGTAGGAACACCACCTAAAGGAAAATACGTGAATTATAATGTTGCCTGAAATGATCAAGGAAAATACACAGATAGACATCTTTGCATACTTTTAGTGAGTCCACAGGCTCCTAGAGGTTACCCATACCCACTCACCCCTAAGGACCAGAGTCACGATACCCAAAAGTAGTACACGGGGTGATCCTTTCTTCCTTCGACCATGGAAGCCCATTTTTCGGCACATTTTTTTTAAAACCAGGTAAACCAGAGTCCTAGTGGAGTGCATCGGCCTTGAGGCGGGCGCGGGCCTGAAGGGCGGCTTAGCCCCTCCACGTCCCGGATGCAACCCCTGCCCACCAAGGTCACCCGGCGTCTCCGTTTAGGATTTTTTCGCAGAGGGGTCAGTATGGTGGTCAGTAGCAGCGGCGGCCGAGAACAACAGGGAGACGCCCGCGGAGTCTGAGGTTCTCGGGTCCGTTGGGGCGGTCACTGGGGCCCGGAGGAGCTGAACGGCCTCAACCCCCCTCTCCTTGCTGCCTTAACACCACCCCGGGAGGGCAACGGCGCGGGTCCCCGGCGCTCCCTGCAGGCCAAGTACCTCCAGACGCCATAGAGCGCACCACGGAGACTCCACTGGGACCGCGGGCCCTCAGGGCCTGCGCGGCCAGCGCTCCAGCTCCGCGGAGTAACCTTGAAGCCATCACGACAGTTACAAACATCAGCACTTCCGGTAGCAGGCTCCGGAGGCAGAAGGGACTTCCGGGGGCGGGCTTCTTACCCCTCCGTGTCCACCTTCCGCTTCCTTCCGGCCTGGAGCCCGCCCCCATGCGTCGCTCTGCTTCATTGCGTCCGCCGTGCAGCCGGGCAGGCGTAGGGGCGGTCAGGGTCTCAGTTGTAGGCTTCTGGCGACCCTGCCGTTTACTAACGCTGGGATTGGGTGCAACTCGTTTTGCGTCTGTGGGCCTCAGGGTCCTCGTCCCTGGAACGGGTCAACCACACTGGAGTTCCTGTGCTTCTTGCATGATAGTGGTGCTCAGGCAGCGTGGAGGCAGCTGATGCAAGACGTGAAGCCAGTGCCTGTCAGGATACTTGCTGCACACCTAACTGCCCATATTTACGAGTGGACTCCCAAAGGCCACTGTGTTAGTTGTGATGCATGCTAATTGTGATGCTGGTTCTCCCGGCAGTGTGTGAGCCACTGCAAACTTGTGGCCCAGCCTACAGGAACTTGGGCAGGACCTGCCCGCAGTCCTAGCATCAGTTTCCTGTTACAGTGGTTTTGAGGTGATGAGGTCCAGGCCTGAGGCGAGGCTGGGGAGGGGAAGGAAGGTAGGGCCAGATTGTGGGCCCCTCCCAGGACCAAAGATCTTGGTGATGTGGGGTAAAGGGGTGGCTACTGGAAGGCTGTTAACTCAGAAGAGGTTAAGGGAGGGGAAGCAGGAAGCGGAGTTGATAATGGAAAATGGAGTCCCAGAACATACTGGGACGGGAGTTCTGCGTTTAAAACTGAAAACATCTTCCGTAGTTCCCCCATTGCCCACAAGCTAAGATGTGCAAGTTTCTTAGGGTGGCCTTTGTAAACACTGCCTGCCATGGGCTCCTAGGCCCTAGTTCCCATTGTCAGTATAGCCCTGTCACAGTCTGGCTGCATGCAGTATCGGTTTCCCTACCGGATAGAAAGCCCCTTCAGAGCAGGAATTATGCACTATTCACCTTTGAATTCTCAGTGCCTTCCAGAGGCCCGGCATATAATAGGATCAAGTAAATTTTAGTAAATTTATTTTTTGGAGAGAATATACAGAATCAGTTTTGTAGGGCTTCTCCTGGCCCAATGAGGTCAATTTGAGGTAAATTGGGGAGGGTTGAAGTCCCAGGTGTTCCCACCTGTCCCATGGGGGTTATATTTTCAAAAGGACCTGGTGGAGCATTTCGTCACATGAGCACAGCTGGTCTTCGTGGGTGCCCCTCCATCAAGAAAAAAAAATCATTTCTAAGGCCAAAGATGTCTTGATCCTCTTTAAAGGTGTGTTTTGCTTTGAATGGCTTCCTCTGTTAATCCCTTCTTCCTTACCTCCACTGCACCCCTTCCAAATTAAATTGGGAAAAAATTCCCTTAAGTCCTAGGAATGTTCCCCAAGAATCTATAGTTGATTTGTACCTATGGTTAGATGTTTAATGCTGGAGGGAGAAAAAAGCATTGATCTGGAAAATAGGTGTTCTGGGATGGAACCCCACCAGCCAACTCAGCAAGTCACTTTTTGTTTTGGCCACCATTTCCTCATCAGTAAAATTATGATTAGACTAGATTAGTATTTCCCAAAGTATATCCCATGGACTCCTGGTCTCCGGATATGCTCTCAGTAAAAAGGACTTGATCAAGATAGGAAAGTTCTGCATTTGATAACCACCCTTTTGGAGATGAAGACACTAGCATGTTAAAGACTGATGAGGACTGCGACAGAGAATGCTGTTTAGTTTTCCCATCATAGTTGAGCACTGTTTGCCAAGAAACACCTGCTAACCCAACTCTCAGCGGACCAGGGAGAAATTCTGTTCTGATGTGTTATGGTTCCCTCCTGCCTGACCATGAGATGGTTTATTCCAGGCTATAAAATGGAAATAGAGTTGAGGCTTGTTTCTCCCTCTCACAGTAGGCTTGCCTAATCATAGGATGTTTTTTGCAGGTCTTTGTTTAGCTCACAAAAGCCCTAGGATTATTCAGTCTAAACTGGTGAGCTCCAAAGTCAGGACCAGGCTCCAGGGCATCCCCACAGTTCCCGCCCCTGGCTTCCTCAAGCTCTCACCACCCTCCACTTACACCCCTGCCCTCACAGGTCTCCTTGAGAAACAGATTGGCTTGGGGAGCGGCCTCCCACTCCTTCCTACTCCATTGTCTTTGCCAAAATAATAAACTTTTATTGAGTATTATTTTTTACTTTTATAGGAAAATTCCTATAGTGGTCAAAATAAACGCTCATTGTAATAAGTCAAACAACATATATGTTTAAGGAAAAAGTTGATTGTTGACAGTTTCATGTTTATCCTTTTTCTTCCTTTTTCTCTGCCGGGGTTTCTCAAGTTTAGTGCTATTGACATTTGGGGCTGGAAAATTACTTTCAAGGTGTTGGGGGGGGGGTGCTTTCCCGTGTGCATTGCAGGATGTTCAGCATCTGTGCCATTAGCACTCCCCAGTGGTGACAACCAAAAATGTCTTCAGTCATTACCATATGTCCCCTGGAGGGCAAAATTGCCCCGATTGAGAATCACTACTCCATTCTCCTACAGTCATATTCAACAAATACACATATTGCGATGTTTCTTAAAAATATACAGAAATGTAAATGAATAGAAAAATATATCACTATTATACAAATTAGGAGTAAATTTCTTTTTTCACTTAAAAAATATTTTGTGGGCATCACAAATCGATACATAGAGATCTGACTCATTTTATGTAGTTGCTGCATAATATTCCCTACTGGGAAAATACTACCTATGAATTTACCCAACCATTTTCCTCTTGATGAATATTCAGATGGTTTCTAGTTTTTTGCCTGTCAATGCTGGGATGCACATCTGCAGTACATATAGCCTTATATTCTGGAGTCTTCATTTATGAGGAATAGGGTCAAAGGATGTGTACATCAAATATAACAATAAATTCTGCCCAAAAAAACAAAAAAAAATTATTGCAATATATAATATAAAAAATAGTGCAAAAATTTCTGTACAGGGTAAGAACAAATCTATGAGCCTTCCAACCAGGTCAAGAGAGCTTTTTTTTTTTTCGTGGCCACACCGTGTGGTATGTGGTGCCCCCCCCTGCAATGGAAGGGCGGAGTCTTAACCACTGGACAGCCAGGTAAGTCCCCAAGAGTCAAGAGAGTTTTGATAATGTCTGTAAAGCTTTTTTTTTTTTAAAGAAAGCTCTGAAGAAAATACGGCAAAATATTAATAATTTAAAAATCTACATCGTCATTAAAAAAAAAAATTCTGCCAGACTGTTTTCCCAAAAGTTTGAAGCAGTTGATGCTCCCACCAGCAGGGCACGTGAGTGACGGTTCCCTCCTCCACATGTGAGGGTTACCCACCTTTTGCCAAGTCTGCCCACTGATGGATGGAAAATAAGATGCTGTTGGAGGAACTTCCCTGGTGGCACAGTGGTTAAGAATCTGCCTGCCAATGCAGGCGACATGGGTTCGAGCCCTGGTCTGCGAAGATCCCACATGCCGCGGAGCAACTGAGCCCATGCGCCACAACTACTAAGCCTGCGCTGTAGAGCCTGTGAGTGACGACTACTGAGCCCATGTGCCACAACTACTGAAGCCCACGCGCCTAGAGCCCGTGCTCTGCAGCAAGAGAAGCCACCGCAAGGAAGAGTAGCCCCCGCTCGCCGCAACTAGAGAAAGCCCTCGCGCAGCAACGAAAACCCAACGCAGCCAAAAATAAAATAAATTTTTAAAAAAAGATGCTGTTGGAGTTTGTATTTAAGTTCCCTGAACTCTAAGGCAGCTGACCTTCATTTCATAAGTTTATTGATTATTTGCATTTCCTCGGCTGTGAACTGCTGGACTCAGTTTCATTTTCTTTCAAACGGCCATACCACCTACCTCTGGAGCTGTTTTGAGGACTAAACGAGTTAACACAAAGTGCTCAGAACCATGCCTTACACATTGTAAGCGCTCAGTTAATGCTGGCTTAAAAACTGGCTATTCAAAACTACCATATGACCCAGCAGTTCCACTCCTGGGTATATATCAGAAAAAACCAAAAACACTAACTTGAAAAGATACATGCACCGCAATGTTCATAGCAGCATTATTTATAATTGCCAAAATATGGAAGCAGCCTAAGTGTCTATCAACAGATGAATGGATAGAGAAGATGTGATATATATATATATATAGATAGATACATAGATAGATAGATAGGTAGATAGATAGATACACACACACATAACATACAACGGAATATGACTCAGCCATAAAAAAGAATGAAATTTTGCCACTTGCAGCAACGTGGATGGACTTGGAGGGCATTATGCTAAGTGAAACAAGTCAGACAGGCTGTATGATATCACATATGTAATCTAAAAACTACAGCAAACTAGTGAATATAACAAAAAAGAAGCAGACTCAGATATAGAGAGCAAGCTAGTGCTTACCAGTGGGGTGGGAGAAGGAGGGAGGGGCAAGATAGGGGGAGGGGATTAAGAGGTACAAACTATTATGTTTTTATATAATAACATGTAAGGATATATTGTACAACATGGGGACTATAGTCAATATTTTATAATAACTATAAATGGAGTATAACCTTTAAAAATTGTGAATCACTATATTGTACACCTGTAAATTATAAAATATTGTACAGCAACTATATTTCAATTTAAAAAAGCTAAATAATTAATGAGTATTTTTTAAAAAACTGTCTATTCAGTACATTCATAGTTGCTTTTATTTACCTAAAGGAACTCTGGATGGATACACAGGAAACCAATACAAGTAGTTACCTCTGTGTCCATGTTGGGTGGGGGAGGGAACTGAGCCCTTGAGGACAGGGTGGAGTGAGACTGTTCCCTGCAGGCCTCTTATACCATTTGGGGGTCTTGTTTTAACTGTGTGAATGTATTATCTATTCAGAAATGAAATAAACATTTTTTAAATCGGCTATTCATATTATTTTGGGAGATTGTTTAATTGATTTGCAGAGACTCAGTGTTAGGGAAGTTATATCAAT